AATAGGCTATACAACAAATCTGGAAAAAATTTTTTAAAAACCTGAAATTGTCTTCTGTGAACATTTTGACCACAGTAGAATAAATCCAGAAACCAACAGAAAAAACTAGAGATTATATGAATGCATGAAGACTGAACAACATGCTCCAGACTGACTAATGAATCACTGAAGAAAACAAGAGAAGTTTAAAAGTTTCTTGAAACTAACAAAAATGGGAACAAAATATACCAAAACTTTGAGGATATGGTAAAAAGTAATTACCAAGAGTTAAGTTTATAAGAGTAAGTGCCTACATTAAAAAAAGAAGAAGAAGAAGAAGAAAAACAGAAAAAAAAAAAACTATTTATGTATCCCAAGGGCCCAGAAGTGCCAAGATCAGACTGTGCAATGTTCACATAACTGGTCTGCTGTAAAAGCTAGGTTGACTGCTGTGAAATGAAGGCACAACACCTCTTGGCTTCACATAATTGTATGAAGTGAAGTTTATCTTTTAAGCCCATTAGTTTAAAAGTTGAGAGACTGCTTTAAATTGCGTATTTAATGGAATTCTAACATGTAAGATCAAATAAGGTTTGAAACTTGGGGAATTTCCCCTGTCCTGCATCAAAGAATCTAATAGGAATTCCTTCTCAGGCAATCCTCCATCCAGCTGTCCTCCAGACAGGGAGTGGGAGAGCAGACATAGAACCACATCCACACACATTTCTCTTGTTTTAAGATTAATTTTATTTCATTTGAAAGGCAGAGTTAAAGAGAGAAAGAAGGAGCAACAGAGAAAGAGAAGGAGATTCCAGCTGCTGGCTCACTCCCAAATGGTCACAAAGGCCGAGAGCTCGGTCAAATGATGCCAGGAACCAGGAGCTTCTGGGTCTTCCATGTGGGTGCGGAGCCCCACACACTTGGACCATCCTTCACGGTTTCCCCAGACACAGGAGCAGGGAGCTGGATGAGAAGTGAGGCAACCAGGACTCAAACTGGTGTCCATATGGGATGCGGGCCCTACAGGCTGCAGCTTAAAACGCTATGACACAACATCACTGCCCACGCACTTCCCATACCCTTTCTTAGAAAATTCTACTCTGAATGCACACTGGGCATGCCTACTTTTTCCAGAGCCATTTGCCTGGTTTATCTGGTGTTTTTCTCTTTATGAAACTCTACTTCGTCATTTCTATCACAAAACAAATCCTAGTAAAGTAGTTCTATTTTTAAAAACTTGGGTGAGGGCCCTGCACGATAGCCTAGCAGCCAAAGTCCTCACCTGGAACATACTGGGATCCCACATGGGCACCTGTTCCAATCCTGGTGGCCCCACTTCCCATGCAGTTCCCTGCTTGTGGCCTGGGAAAGCAGATGAAGACTGCCTTGGGACCCTGCACCTGTGAGGGAGACCTGAAAAAAGCTCCAGGATTCTTGCTTTGAACTGGCTCAGCTCCAGGCGTTGTGGCATTGTGGTCACTGGAGAGTGAACCATCAGACGGAAAATGTTTCTCTCTGTCTCTTCTCCTCTCTATATATCTGCCTTTCCAAAAATAAATAAATAAATCTTTAAAAAAAAAAAACTTTGGTGAAACGCATAAACCTTTACATTCTTTAAAAGAAAACAACATCAAACAAGATGCTTCTGTTACCCTATGCAAGTTTGAACACCTGAGTAATTGTGCAAGCTCTTCTCTATATATAATAGTCAGGGAAAGAAACAATTTTTATGTTATCTCATGTAAAAGATGACCTTTCACTCAGAGAGTGACCACAAATGAACAAGTTCTTGATTCCTATGAGTTTAAGTAACTTTATGTCTTCGGAAAAACACCCATATTTTATAAAGCAATATAGTGGTCCCAAGCTGAACAGACCAATGAATGAAGAATGCATACTGTTAAGATAGTCCACTGATTTGACAGTTGTGAAATCTGAATTGAGAAATTATGGAACCAATGCCATGTGGATGCACAATCTAGTCCTGACTGTTGCCCTTCCAATCCAGCTCTCTGTTAATGGCCTGGGAAAGCAACAAAGGATGGCCTGAGTTCTTGGGTCCCCGCACTTATGCGGCAGACCTGGAAGAAGCTTCTGGCTCCAGATTGGCCCAGAGTCGGCCATTGCGGCCAACTGGGGAGGAAACAAGAAGATGGAAGATCTCTCTCTAACTACCATCTAAAATAAAAATGAATGAATGTCATAAGGAAAGTGGGTAATATGAGTATGTCATCAATGGTATGGGGTTCACCCGACAGAGACTCCAACCCTTTGGATTTCCTGACGGTTTCTTGTAGCACTTAAGCAATTTGATCAGCTCAGTCAAGTCCTACCCAGCACTACATCACAAAGGCACAAATTAACAACTGGAACCAACAGCATTTTTTGATCACGTGTCATGACTTAGGCAAAGTTGTGAAGTTGAACCAAAAAACTTCAAGGGAAGACGCATCATCACACTCCAAACACTGGAAGCATACATTTCCTGCACTCAAACCAGAAAGACCTTTTCTTAACGTTTAAAAATCTAGCAATAGATCAACATGGATAAAAATAATACCATTTTGAGCAACCACTCTGTCCCTTAGTAAGTAATCCTACACCAGCTGCTTTATTTCAGCTTGCTCATCAGTCAAATGGAAATTCCATACAATAATACCTCACACGGGCACTGCCAGGATTAACTAGAGAACTCATAATCTATGCAAATAAGCTACCTAAATCAAAGGCCATCATCAACTTCTGACCCTGAGAGCTTGTCCAACAAGCTATGACTAGTTCATGCCGGTAGGTCAAAGCACAGTTAAAGTATTATCATGCATCTCTCACAGGCTTTCTGAGTAACTGCCTTTATCTCCTTGCATTTACTTCCAACCTGTTCCCTGTCACCTGCCGACTTTGGCTCACTCTGAGCCTCCAACCCCCATCCTACCTCCAGTTTTGAACATGAATTATTCTTAATCTCCCCAGTATCTGAAAATCTGGCTTATCTGCTGCCAATAGACTTTACTGAACCTCTTCTAGTTCATTATCTAAATAAGGAACATGAAAACATATGATTAGAAGAGCCCAAGACTTACACTTTAAAACATAAATTTTTCATTTATAATAATTTTAGATTTCATAGAAGTTACAAAATAGTATAAATATATTCTTTATCTTCTTTTTGTTATTTATTTTAATTGGAAACACACTTATACAGAAAGAAGGAGATGCAAAGAGAAAAACCTTCCATCTGCTAGTTCACTCCCCAAGTTCCCACAATGGCCAAAGCTGAGCCTGTCCGAAGCCAGGAGCCAGGAGCTTCTTCTTCATCTCCCACACAAGTTCAGGGTCCCAAGGCTTTGGACTGACCTCCACTGCTTTCCCAGGCTGCTGGCACGGAGCTTGATGGGAAGTGGAGCAGCTGGGACATAAGTTAATGCCTATATGGGATCCTAACAGATGCAAAGAGAGAATTTCAGCCACTAGGCCCTCGAGCCGGGACCTTTGTTTTATATTCTTCTGTCAGTTTCAATATCCTTGATGTTATCTCATGTTGGCTGTTGTGCATTTGCCAAGTCTACAAAGCAAAATTACTGCATTTACTATTAACTAAGCTCGAAGGGTTTGTTTTTTGGTTTTTGGGGGGTTTTTGTTTGTTTGTTTGTTTTTACTGCTTTTTCTGTCACTGTTCTCTTTTGTCCATGTTGTTTCAAGATCAATTTCAGGAAATCCAATTGCTTTGAGTTAAGCGGTCTCTCTAACTTCTTTTTGGCTCTGACATTTGTCTTGTCTTGTTATTCACAACCCTAACACTTTTGAAGAGCACTCCGCATGAATTTTGCAGATCTGTTCTTCAACTCGGATATGCATGTCTTTTTTTTTAATTATTAAACTGTCATTGAAAGAATACCAAAAAGAAAATAGATTGTTCTTTTTCATTACACGATGTCTACATAACATTCCTGTACGTGGTACCCGTGGGGGGAGGTGGCATTTGTCAGAGTCACCACTGCCAAGTCTCTTTCCTCTGTGATTTTTGCAAGTGTGACGCCTCATCGTGCAGAGGCAGGCAAGTTTAAAACAGGCAAACGAAAAGAAGCAGGACAACAGAGGTGGAAAGGCGACTCGCACGCATGCTGCTCACGTACCCACGTAAGAGAGAAACATCGCAGCAATGAGGACAGCATCAAAACTGTCCAACGCTCCAGGAGTTCTAGAATCCGACTGGAAGGTGTCAATGAAACGAGGCCCTGGCTCCGCCAAGGGCAATTTTAATTACGTGACGGATCGCAACCAGGATGCAGTGGGCCGGGCTCATTACAGAAAGTGGACCTAACGTGTAAATTACATATTCTAGAAGCTTAACTATGAAGGGAGTGGGTGGAAAAGATGGTGACTACAAAGTCAGAGAAAGGGGAACTCTTTGAAAGTTTCTTATTTTTTTTTTTTCTCGGTGGGGAAGAGGCTTGACAAAAACTATATTCTGAGAGAAAAAAAAAAAATCTGAGAAAAAAAAAATAAGGTGAAGGTTAAAGATACAGGCAATTTTACTGGGTAGCATGAGTGTGCACGAGCTATGCCCCGCCCTGTCTGTCACAGATCTGGGCCAGCCTGCACTCAGCAGTCTGTCTGAATTTCATTGATTTGCTTACTGAGAATGTGCAGAGATGCAATAAAACTGAAAACACACATATTCTTAATAAAACAAGAGAGATGATTTCATCTTGGATGTGCCCAAATCTCCAACGAGCTGTTCATCCAGATTCTTAGTTAACTGTTTAAAGCTGGGTGAGCCCTGCCAAACTGGCTTTGCAGCAAGGCTGGGCAGGGCGCCGGCCTGGAAGCCCAGGGAACGGCCGGGAGCTGTGGCCCTTTGACTTCCCCTTGGCCCGCAGTGAACTCCCTCAGTGCAGGTTCTTCAATTTTATGATGTAAGAAAACAGGAACCAAAATTTTCCATAACAAACACCACTGCTTATCATCAGATTAAAATTATTACAGCCTGTTTTTTTTCCCCAGTATCTGTTACATTTTACCTTTAAAAAATAAGAATCCTTCAAAATTCCCATACTTCCCCCGAGGGCTTCAAGTGGTGACGATTATGGCACTTAATGAAGACTTAGGCAATTCTGTAAGGTAAGTATACTGTAAGTGACAAAAGGCACTTGATGAAATAAAACACGATAAATCTAACATAATGAATAAATTTTAACAATATTTGTAAATATCTAATCTACTATATCCAGCCAGTTTTATTCTGACATTTACATTAATTCTTATGAATTAATTTAAAATATATAAGTAGAAAATATTACCAGTACATACTATTAAGATAAAATTATGTTCATAGTTGATACTTTTTAAAAGATGCAAAGCAAGGGCCCAGCGTGGTAGCCTAGTGGCTAAAGTCTTTGCCTTGCACATGCCAGGATCCCATATGGGTGCCAGTTCATTTCCTGCCACTCCACTTCCCATCTAGCTCCCTGCTTGTGGCCTGGGAAGTCAGTGGAGAGCGGCCCAAAGCCTTGGGACCCTGCACCCATGTGGCAGACCCAGAAGAGGCTCCTGGCTCCTGGCTTCAGATCGGCTCTGCTCCAGCTGTTGTGGCCTTTGGGAAGTGAACCAGTTGAGAGAAGATCTTCCTCTTTGTCTCTCCTCCTCTCTGTATATCTGACTTTCCAATAAAAATAAAGTAACTAAATCCTTTCTTTTTAAAGGCAAAACAAAACATCATGCATTGAACTACAGTGAATCTGAGGTAAGAAAGAACTGCCATGGCAGAATTCAATTTTTTTCATGTTGTTACCTTCAGCACTTGGTATCGTAGTGGGCCTCAACCCCGTGCCCTGGCCATAGCAGATAAACATTGCAGAACTACAGGAGGAACGGAAGGAGGGAGGGAGGGAGGAAGGGAGGGATGGGGGAAGGGGTGGAGGGAGGGAGGAAGGGAGGGATGGGGGGGGGGTGGAGGGAGGGAGGGAGGGACGGAGGGAAGGAGGGAGGGAGGGGAGGGGTGGAGGGATGGAGGGATGCAGGGAGGGAAGGAGGGAGGGAAGGAGGGAGGGAAGGATGGAAGGAGGGAGGGATGGAGGGAGGGAGGGACGGAGGGAGGGAGGGAGGGAGGGAGGGGAGGGGTGGAGGGATGGAGGGATGCAGGGAGGGAAGGAGGGAGGGAAGGAGGGAGGGAAGGATGGAAGGAGGGAGGAATGGAGGGAGGGAGGGACGGAGGGAGGGAAGGAGGGAGGGAGGGAGGGAGGGAGGGAGGGAGGGAAAACAGATGCTTTGATCCCTTGTTATCTGAGTGATGCTCTTCTGCCACTTGCTTTGTCCTGCAGCACGTTTCACAATGCACATACTTTAAATATTTATCATTTGTGTGCCACACTTTTTCATTGTTCCCTTTCCTGTTTCCAGCCTGTTTCTTCTTCTGTAGAGCAATATGTAAGAGAACATCCCCCCTCCCACCCCACCCCACCCCCTTTTTTTTTTCAAAGAAAAGAAAGGATTGTATCCTATCTGGCAAATTTTCAAAAGTAAAAATTTAGAGAAGGCATTGAGTTCAGACCCACCCTTCTCGGGGCTGAGCTGAGTCACTTCACTTAGTCAGAGGGTATGGTGTTTAAAATATACCTTAAATCCATTATTCTAGCTCTTAAAGCCTGTGCCTTCTGACCTGGCTGAGCCACATATGCATCATGCAGTGAACACCTAGGCCAGCTCCATGACCAGGTATGTGCCCCATCTTCCCCTGCCCCTCATTTCCACTTGATGTCTATTCTGATAGCTACTCAACTCCGGAAAATCCCCCACCCTTGCCCAGCACCACCATCTATTCATGATCTGTTCTGGACCATGCCTGATTTTAATGAAATGTGTCTTCTTCAGCGCTTTGAGTTTATCTTACCTGCATCTTCTTCTGGCTGTTGTAGAAGACTAACCCAACAGACGTCTAAATTCCCTTACTGTGCAACCTGCACAAGGGACGCAGGAGTAGACACAAGAGCACCTGTCCTCCTTGCCTGGATTGATTGGAGAGGACAAATTAACTTATAAATTAAAGATAACAGCGTTCAAACACCAAGTAGAATCAAATACCACTTTCATATCAGGTAGGATAGGAAATAAAAACACACATGCAGGAGAAGAGTCTCCCAGCTAGTCATCTTTCTATCAGTAAATGTGAACATAAATAATAGAGCATACAGTTTCTGTTTGGAAGGGGATATTTGCTGCAGGAATCATTGTCCCCAGGTAATGGAACCCACACTCAGAACGATGGCTCAGAGCGTCATAACTCCCTCATTCACCAGCACACTGCACAGCATTGAGTGACCACTCTGAAAAGCCAAGAACTTTTTTATCCATGATTCAAAACAACCATTTTGATAGCTTTATTGGGATACAGTTTCTACACAACAAATAGCAAGTATTTAACATGTACTATATGCATATATGTGTGTGAATAAAATCATCATCGATATCAAGACAGTGAATATATTCATCACTCCTAAAAATGTCCTTCATCATTTTTTTAAGTTTTTATTTTAATTTGCATTGTAAAGAAGGTGATCTTTAACAACCTAAGCTGAGCCAGGCTTAAGCCAGAAACCAGGAACTTTATCTGTATCTCTTATATGGGATGCAGAGACCCAAGAAATCAGTCCATCATTTCCTATCTTTCCAAGTGCATTGGCAGGGTGCTGCTTCAGAAATGGAGCTGCCGGGACATTGAACAGCCCTTGGACATGAAATGTTGGTGCCTCATGCAGGAACTTAACCCATTGTACCCCACCACTGGCCCTGAGTACATTTTAAATACCCACCTCTTATGCCTCCCCATCATTGCTCATTCCCAAGCAACCACTGTTTTGTTTTCCATTGCCATGGCATAATTTGCATTTTCTAGAATATTAATTAAACAGAATTAGACAGTGTCTACATTTTTCATCTGGCTTTTTTTGCACAGTGCATAATTATTTTAAGATACATTAATGTCATTATAGGTATCAAAAACTAATTCCTTATTGTTGCCAGGTTGTTGTAATTGTTTGCATATACAGCGATTGTTTATCCATGTGTTGATGGACAGCTTGGGTTGTTTCCAGTTTGGGACTACTACAAATGAAGCTGTTATGAATATTTGTGTACAAATGTAAACAAATGCTACCTGGTAGAACGGGTGGGTCATACAGCAAAGGTATGTTTAACTCAAAAACTGCCAAACTGTTCACAACTTTGCTGTATTGTTTTTATTTCCTAAAAACAATGTGCAAGAATTTCGGTTACTCCACAACCTTGTGAACAGTTGGCATGGCAGTGTTCCCAAGTTCATACATTCTACAGCTACTGGTGTATACTACTGTGGCTTTAGTTCGCATTTCCCTAGTGACTAGAAAGATTGACATCATTTCATAATTCTGTTGGATATCCAATATGCCCTTGATGACGTATCAATCTCTTTTCCTTTCTTTTTATAATTAAACAAACTCTTCACATGTTCTGGATGTAAGTTCTTTTAAGCTTATTCTTCCAATCCATGAATTTGTTATACATTGCCATTAACTCATTTCTATCATCAACATTTTGTATTTCCAATGTATTTTTGCTGCCTTCCTAACCAGCATGTTTCAGTTTCAATCTATTACTTATAGCTGCTTATATTTAATCTTTTTGGACACAAATAGATCACCAATATCTTAATGGCTTTCTAGGGAAAAATTCATTTCCTTATTTTCCACTTTCTAGCGTCTTCTTGCATCCCTAAGCATGTGGCGCCACATTTATCCAACGATGGCTTGGATATTATTATCACAGATCTGTTGTAAAAACTACTGTGATCATATTAGAAGCACCTGGATGAACCAAGTTCCTTTCCCCATCTCTCCAATTTTAACTGCAAAATCTCTGCCTGTAAGGCAACATGTTCTCAGTTTCCAGCAATTAAGTCGGGTGCAATTGGGATTGAGATGTGTTATCAGTGTGTAACACAAGTACATAAAATATGTACTTCTCTGTTCAAATATGGCCTCTCTGTTCTTCGGTGTTGTTAAACTGCCTTAATGATGCTAAGATCTTTTTTGGAGAGTCTATAGGATTTTCTGCATATAATATGAGAAGAGTGAAAAATTGTAGCATGAAAATAATTTTCTAATATGGATGCTTGCACTTCATCTTCATGTCTTGCTTCCTGGGCGACTGCTTCCAGGATGCTGTTTAAAAACAGTAGTGAGGGGCCCGGCACGGTGGCGCAAGTGGTTAAGTCCTCGCCTTGCACGCCCGGGATCCCATATGGGCGCCGGTTCTAATCCCGGCAGCCCCGCTTCCCTTCCAGCTCCCTGCCTGTGGCCTGGGAAAGCAGCAGAGGACGGCCCAAAGCTTTGGGAACCTGCACCCGCTTTGGAGACCCAGAAGAGGCTCCTGGCTTCGGATCGGCATAGTATCGGCCCGTTGCGGCTCACTTGGGGAGTGAATCATCGGACGGAAGATCTTCCTCTCTGTCTCTCCTCTCTGTATATCCGCCTTTCCAATAAAAAAAAATAATAAAAATAAATCTTTAAAAAAAAAAAAAAACAGTAGTGAGAACAGACTCCCTTGCCTTGTTCTAAAAGACAGAGAAGAATTTCACTATCACCTTTTCCATTGTAGAAAATGATTATTTTATTCACATGCTAAATTAGATCCACAAAGTTTCTTCTATTTCCTAGCTGGCTAAGAATTTTTATCATGAATACATGCTAAATTTCATTAAATCATTTTTGCTTGTGCTAACATTATCATATGCTGTTTTCCTTTATACCTTTAATACAGCAAAGCACATTGATTTTCAAATGTAAAAACTGATCTTGAATTCCTGGAATAGCTTCACATGGTGAAAAATATTAGCATATTTTTATATTTTCCTTGGTAAAACTTTGTTGAATTTTTAAAAAAGACTTTTCATTTATGTTCAAGAGTCACACTAGCCTATGGTTTGCCTCTCTTGTACTGTCCATTCCTGGATTTGGTTTCAAGGTAAGGCTAACTTTGCAGAATGACTTGGTGAGTATTCATTCCTCCTCAGTTTGGGAGACATTCTTTAAATGTCTGATACAACTCACTGTGGAAGCCATCAGTGTCTGGAGTTCTCCCTGCGTTAAGACGGTTAAATGAAAAGTCATCCTCTTTCATGGACACATGACCATCCAATTTATATATTTCTGACTGAGTGTAATCTGGAAGTTTTTGTCTTTTAAACAACTTATCAATTTCATCTAAAAAACAAATACTGAGTCATTGTTATCATTCTTCATCACAGTGACCGTTATTTCCAATTTCAAATGTCATTTTATCATGGCTTCTTTTAAGGTCAGTTTATTTTTTTTTTTTCAAAAACTCCTGTGCATTTCTTTAAAGTCTAATTAGAGTAAATTGCCATCAGGAAGTTGAAAGTAATATGCTGCTGATTTTGCTATTTAGGGACATCATCAGAAATTTCACTTACCTTGTCCTGGATTCTCATTCCACGTAAAGTGGCTAAACAGTCCACTGGCTGGCTTTGCTTATGCAACTTGATACCTACCACATTTACCAGTGAAGAGGGCCTGCTTGCTTCCTTTCCCCCTGAAACATGTCCATTACCCTGGTCATAGACTTGTAAACTTAAATTATTATTCCACAGGAGGTCAGCTAGTACAAAGCCAAGGACAATGGTAATGAAAATCACAGATGTTGCGCAGGTGTTTTTCCCAGTGGTTAAGATGCTCATGGGATCGCCTGGGCTTTGGTTGTCAGCTCTGTTTCTGATTCCAGTGTCCTGTTAATGGCACCCTGGAAGGAAACAGGTACTTATATCCAAGTATTTGTATCCAAGATACTCAACCTGGGAGATCTGGAAAGAACTTTGGCTGGGTTCAACCCCACTATGAAGGCATTTGAGAAGTGAAGCAGTAGATAGAAAAATTCCTTTCTCTCCCTCTCTCTTTTTCATCTCCCTTTCCTCTCCCTCCCCATTGCTCTTTCAAATAAAAATAAATTAAACTTTTAAAAATATTAGTCATGTCCTGCTGCTGATGACACAGGAGTATCGCTCCTTGTTGAGTCAGGAGTATCGCCTCTATTAATGATAATTAAAGTGGTAATTCACACTTGCAGATCACTTGCCATATCCCAGGGCTTTTGCTAAATTGGAACCTTACAGACATTGTCCTATTTAATCCTTACAATAACCAGAAATGTAAGAGCTATTATTATCCTCATTTTGTTTAAGAAGAAACAGAGTCTTCGAGGAGCTAATACACTTGCCAAATCACAGTAACCATGAAACAAATTTTCAATGATAGAGACAGACGTAACAGGAAGAACCCATCTACTTTATCAGAGAATATTCATACAACAGGTGGCTATGAACATGAAGTTGAAAAGTCAAAATGGGATTTATGGAGGTTTTTTTTCACTGACTTGTCCTATTAACTCTGAAGGAAATTTCTCTGCAAGAAGTCTAAGCTATATTCCTCCTCTTACAATACTTACCTATTCTCTATGAGAAAGACAGAAGAATCTGTATTCTGGGGCCATCTTTGTGGCAAATTTTTATTGATTTTTGTATTTATTTGAAAGAGTTACAGAGAGACAAGGACATAGTGTGTTGGAATTCTTTTTGATAGTTGTTATTTTACATTATAATCAATTATGTCCAAGACATATTTTTGCTTGTGTGGTTTGAGTCCAGCCTTCCTGTGGATCTGTAAGAATGGACACTCGAGGGAAACCTATCCAGGAGGAGCAGAGTTCCTGGATGAGGCAAGAAGATCACAACGAGGCTTCCTGAAGAACCCTGGCGAGAAAACATCACCTTGCTGGGATCACAGTACAGAGCAACCGCGCTTACCTAAATGACCCTTGAATGATTCCTAGAAGTAGCACTGGAATATTTCCTAAGCCTTTCCTACAAACTGTGGCTCCCACTACATTTACCAATCTGATTTTAGTGTATCGACGAGCTCAGCAGATTTCCTTACACTAATACAATTATTTAGCTTGTTTTAGATGAAATGTGCATAAAGAACTATATTCCTTAGGTGATTCTTCTCATAAGAGCCGGTGCTATGAAGACAGGCATGCCGCTTAAATCCTGTCATCTTCTCTGTCAGTTCTCAGAATGTGTCTAGACATGCAGGAAGAAGTAAAAAATTGAAGCAATCAACTACATAATTTGGACAGAAACATTCCATACAGCTGAAACACTGTGTTGATTGGATAAAATGAAGCAAACTGCCCAACAGTCCTCATTTTTTACTGCCTGCTCAGACACAATTCTTATCTAGGATGCCAGAACAAGGCATAAATCTATGTAATCCATCTAAATTGGTGATAATCACTTCAGCCTCTGCATCAAAATAGAGATAGCTAGTCACAACGATATAAACTGCCAGCTCTCCCCACTTGACAGTTCCTGGGTCAGAGCTCGTCTGTATACACAATACCCCAAAACAACTTGATGGAAATTGGCATTGCGGTCATATATGCAGATGCAGTATCTGACCACTGAATCTTGGCTTACATGTTTACAAGGCAGTTAGTAACCAAACCTTGTTCTACAAATATGAAAGCAAAACTGAGACATTGGGCACCATATTTAGACAGCATTTCCATCAATCCCTGAAACACCGTATTTCAAATGATTCGCATCTTTGCTCTTCACCAAAAGCCCTATGCTTTTACTGTACTTGGAGGACACAACCAACAGCTGCGTATCTGGGAAGTACCTGTCACGTTAAAGAGAATCTTACCAATGAATCCAGTTTGGGTTAACATCATCCTACCAGCAGCTAACCATGCCTTGTCCTGGGGATGGTACATCTCCCTGTGCGTTCCTCTCCAGGGGTCTTCCCCAGCCTGTCCAGTGAAGTAAGTACTTGGTGTCTTGGCAGAGTCAAGCACAAGTGATTTGTTTCTAAGCCGTGCTGCAGTAAAACACCTCCTCCACCTTTTTGGTGGTGTTAGTCTGTATAGGGTGAGTAACAGTTGCAAATATAGATGCATGCCAATTGACAGGTGTTTAATTTTTCTTTACTTCTTTTTATTATTATTATTATTATTATTATTATTATTCTCAGTTTATGATACATCTCCATAGACCCTAGAATTTTCCTTGTCCCCTCCCTACGATCCCCTCCCACTGAGTTCCTCCATATTACTACTGTAGTATAGTTCTTCATAAACAGTCATATGTCCATCATTTCAGGCATGGACAATAGCATAGAGTCCAGCATCCTATTGTTAAGATATAGTTAACAGTTTCATTGTGAGTCCATCTTTGATTAGAGATGCATATTCCATTGTATCCTCACATCTGAATTTGATAGTCTCCGTTATAGTTACTATACATACCCTTGAATGAAAAGCCACAATACAAAATCAACAGGAAGAAAAATAGAAAGTTACAATGCCATGAAGTTAAATAACATGCTACTAGATATGATCATCTTCATTACACAGTTATTATACATTCTCTTAAATGAAAATCCACGAAACAAAATTAACAGGAAGAAAAAATAAATTAAAGTTTATTTTCCTGGCAAAAACAGTAAGATATGCATTTAACTCAAGGTTTTCTGCCAAGTTCATTTTTACCAATCTCAGAAGTTACAGAAAAGTTAAGAACCAGTTCTTTTACAACAATGGCACCATAATTATGGAACCAGGACCTCTGAAGAATAAAAGCCCACACTTCTACTGAGTCAGCACCCATTCTCCAACAGGTCCCGCCTCCAGAGTCCACAATTCTGGAGGCTCGGAGAACAGGGCTCTGGCATCAGGCATCCCTTTTCTTACTGCATCATAGCATCGTGGCAGGGCAAGTAAGCCTACACAAGAAGCAGAAGAAGGAGACAGCTGAACTAGCGTTGTAATAGCTCACTCAGGTATTACTCCCTCTCCAGAAGAGAATATTAATAAATGTAAGAATGCATAGCCCTCATCATCCAGTTAACACTTAAAAGACTTATCTCTTGATACTGTTACAATGCCAATAGTCACACCACATTCACAGGTGGCAGAAGAAATAGCAAAATAGCCTGAAAAGCAGGCTTCATCATGAAAGCATTTTTCTCTGTTTCAAAAATAGAGGAGTTGTGGGGTAGGGGTTGAGTTGCTTCTTGGGATGCCTGTGCTCCAGGTCAGAATATCTGGGTTGGAGTCCAACCTCTGTTTGTGCTTCCTGCTAAGGCACACCCTGCGAGAAAGCAAGTCCTTGCACATACGTGCTCCCACTCAGTGGAGTTTCAGTTACCTGCTTTTTTTGGGCACTGGGGAGTGAACCAACTGATGGAAGTTCTTCTCTCTGTCTCTTTCTCTATGTGTGTGTATATATCATTTGTATAAAAATATGATATAAACAATACGTGTATAGCATTCAAACAAAGGAATATTTTAAAAGCAGAAAATTTGATCTTTATGTCAATAATGCAATTTTATTTTCTTCATAATTTAAATTACTTCCAAATTTTAAAATAAACAGAAACCAATAATTAACAATTGCTATTAAACATGGGGTTTATGTTCATTTTCACTTACAACTTCATCAAAGACAGAGAAAGTCAACTTAGTATCCCCTAAGAAAGAAGATCCAATTTGCTTTGCTGCCAGTGCAAGTATTACTCTGTTGGCCAAATTCAGCCACTTGAAGATCTTTGCGAGTTCATGCTCTGTGCACTTGTAGGCTAGTTCAGGCATCTCCTGTTGGGTTTTTTAATTATTATTGTTTAATACCTTCAAATATGACACAAATGAACATTTTTGTCACTGAATATGTTTGCTTCCCTTAAACATCCTCTTAAAAATAGAAAGCTTAGTTTTATAAAACATTGGTTTATTCTCTATTGTTTTTAGCA